TCCTGTGTTTCGGTATTCCAAGTGTCCACGCCATGACAAATCGTGTCAGAATCACCCTGTAATCTAGCATACATGTTTATATTAGTAAATAACATTTTCTGTGCAAAACGTGTCAGAACCATTGCATTCATACAATTTGAAATTAACATTTCACTAAACAAGTTAGGAATGAGGAAATGCTCCAATGTCGAAGGTGTATGAAATTTTTAACGGCTGATCTTGATTTATTACACAGAAAATCAATTATACATTCATGTTGGGAATAACTTTGTTCCTGTTGGAAGTCAAGTGTTGTTGACCACTTGTGATTACCTATTCAACTATTATACCTGGTGGCAAGGGTTGCTTGCATCAAAAGAAAAAACAACCCTATTAAGTAAACGAAACAAAGAATTAAAAAATGAATAAAATTTGCGAACAACCTTTCCCAACCAAACACTTCATTTAATTAATAAATGAATATATTTCATTTAAATTCATAATTACCTAAGAGATCATAAGTTGAGGGCAGTATAGTTCTCCCATATTTCCACCCAACACTGATACTTTGATATAAAATCTAGCCACTATTAGCCATCCAAAACAACCAAGAATGCAATGGAAAAAATATCTTGGTCATCCACCTAAATTTCCAAAATAATAACCAACAAGAAAATTTAATTTATGTTATTGACTGTTCTTCAAGATTTGTCAATAAGAATGCTTGATCTTAAAATTTTCCTCTAATCCATCTGTTTCGAATGAAAACTTTTCATATTCACAAAATGAAATAGAAAAGGAGAAATCAAAATAAATCTAACTACTTAATCACACAAAATGAAGAAGATTCACAATCAGAGGAGATATTTTTGTGAACAGTAACTAAACCAGTTTGGAAATAGTGGTGAACCAGTTTCAGTGTGAAAACGGCCCAAGAATGAACAGTAGAAAAAGGCATCCTCTCTTTTATAGGAGTAAGGAATAAGGATTACAGTAAATAATAATATGAATATAGCTTTATTGTATTTACTTTATTTATCTATTAGAAAGTGTCGTGTATCTTTCTTGCAAAAGAAGGGTGCAAATCAATTGTTATACCTCATCATATATTTGTTGCACATTACACTTTTGTAACATATGACAACATAATCAAGCTTAAGAAGTTTTCTTGATTCAAACTCTGCTCATTTCATATTTAATATCACATGTTTAAACATTTGTTGGATTAACCGACCGAAATTGAATCAGAATGAAGCTAAAAGTTCTAATGAACCTAATAATTATTCCACATCAACATTGTTTCGGCCACTTGATCAGTCATAAATGAGTTTTATTCAAGCTAATCTAACGGGGACTAATTCCTATTTGCAAACGTTCCCAACTATTGGCTGCTGACAACTGTAAAGTGTTGGTTTTCATATGATTTTCACATACCCAATCAACACATTCATTTAAATCGCTCTACAAAGAGTTCTACGAAGAAACAACTCTTACCGCACATAATTTATTCCAAAGGCATTTACTTATAGAAGGAAGAAAAAGAGTTCTTTGAATTTTTTCCATCCAAGTCAATTTTTTTCAACATTTAACTGAAACACTAACAATTAAAACGCAAAGCACAAACTTTGCCAGAACCATCCACATGCAAATGGGCTTAATGAATGTGCATGCCCTAATATACATTCCTAAAAAAACTGAATTTTTCACATCTCTGGTGTGTGTGTGGCGTTTGAGTGCACTTGCGGTCTAAAATCCAATACCACAATTTTACAGAAAACAATTCACATCCAAAATTGTTTAACAAATGCCCCCATAACTTCAACCTTTTCTTTTTAATGCTTCCGTACAGTATACAAAATGCGATGAAAAACGTCATGATTCTTCCGATGTTTATTTTCAGAA